GGAGTTCTATTGGTTGTTGCAATCTCTGCAGTTTTTGTTTGTTATAGCTTTCTTATTTTTCAGTGTTTCCAGAATTTTAAGAAGATGTACCATTGTTGAAGATCAGCTGCCATGGGAGAGGCTTCAGATTAAACCAACTGCTGCATGGTTTAATTGGTCTGGTACCTAAGGCTTCTGATCATTTGATTTGTACAAATGCATTTTAACAGTTTGCTGTGCTGTAAGCATCTCATAGCTGCTACTATTGAGAACCTTGTTTTAGAAATGAGTTAAGAGGCATCTTTCCAGTTTAAAGCCAGGCCCTGGCCAAGCCTTGACTTTACCTGGATGGAATGTTTGCCAACAGATCCAGATGTTTTCTGTACCAAATCAGTATTTGAGTCAGTTTTTGACTCAGCAATTTGACCTTATTAATACGACAGCTGGATCAATTTTGAAGTGGGCTTGGAGAATCATTTCCTGAGATGATTACCCAATCCTTCACTGATTTTTTTTGTTTCTGTTTGTTTGCTAACTATGGGATGCTGGTGCAGTGTTTTAGTAATTAATAGTAGTTTCATATTACATATCTTATTAATAATGTTTATGATTTAATTGATTTTTAACTGCTATAGATTTTTATTCATTGTGTATATGGTTTTGTGTTGATGTTGATGTTTATAACAGAAGTACATCTCATTTTAATTTTTTTAAGAAAAGGGGGGAAATGGATGCCCTAAAAGCATTTGATTAGTGTAATTCATTAACTTCAAGGAGAGAAGTGCCTGTGTTTTGTTGGCAGGTTCAAAAAGGTCACCTGTCCATCTGACCAGACTGTCTGCCTCTGAACACACAAGATCCAGTGAACAGAGATGTCATCACACAGCCTTGGTACTCCAGACATGGATCAGAAGTGGACCTGTCAGGACACAGTTGTGTCTGAACACTATACAGACAGTTTACCAACAGAACTTTTATGTTGTTATTATGATGTTGTGTCTCTACCAATTTTTCAGTTATCCTTTGTTTTAAGATTTAGAAGGATGTGAAGAACAACTTGAATATCAAAGCCCTCAGTCACCAATCAGCCGCCAGCTGACATCACGGGAGCAGTGAACGTTCCAATCGTGTTAAATCATAGTCTGTTTGTGAGGGAAATTCTGTAGAAGATCTAAGAAAGGTGTAGAGACTCCATTTAACTGTATATAAAGCAAATTGTAGTTGTGTGTTTACCCTTTCAGCAAATTGCTTTCACGCTTAGACTACATATATACCAGAGCACGTGTGTTAAAGGTAGTTAGATAATAGTTTAAGATAAAGAATTTAGCCTGTGTAGTAATTGTTATGTTAGTATAAAGTATAAGTATTCCCCCTTCAAGAGGTAGCGTAAGCATCTTTGAAAGTTCATTTAACGATTGAAGTTTTAGCTGTGATTTTGTAAGTATGGTGTCATTTACATGGAACAAACTGCTTATGGTAATTGTGATGTTTATAGTCATGACCAACTGTCTGCTAACCAACATCCAAAGGCGACAGAACATATGGGTCACTCTGGTACATTGAACTGGCCAAAGGTCAATGTGTTTGAGCCTAGCCACCCCTGGAGATCCTTTCGCACCTGTCTCATAGGAGTCCCTGAATTGGATCCTCCAGCATTTAAAGGTTTAATTAGTAATGAGACTCAACTGAATCAATTGGCAATGTTGCAAGAGTGCAGTCGCACTGTTGGCTTCACATTAAGACAACTTGAAGCCTGTTGGCAAGCAAAAATTACCAAAGTTCTCAATGTTACAACCCTCAGAAGAATTAGATTTGTTAAGTTCCACCAATACCTCAGGTGGATGGATAATGTCTGAACCCCCGACAAAAAGTCATTCTAACAAAGTAATGTAGCACTGAGCTGCAGTCAACCCTATAGCTGATCTCGTTACTACCATTAAAAGTAAAGCCTTTATTTGTGGTGCAATCTCATAGGACAATTACCAAAGTGATTACCTAGTTCCATATTCCTAATCTGTGGAGATAGAGCATGGAATTAGATTCCTGCTAGTCCACAGAAGACCCTGTTATCTTGGGAAGCTTAACTTTGTTCCACCCAAGCCTACATCAATTGCTGAAGTAGCTAGCAAAATGAAAAACATCAAACAGTCAAAGCAAAGCCTGAATGAATTAAAGCCTAGCCACTCTAAAAAGGCTTGCTTGCTAGACTAAGAAAGAATTAAATTTAATATCCACAATGTTAAGTGAGCTTTCAGCCGATGCGAGTAGTGTATGTCATGCAGTATTATGAAATCGAGCTGCAATTGACTTTTTGCTTTTAGCACAAGGACATGGTTGTGAGGAGTTTGAAAGCATGTGCTGCTTGGATCTTACTGATCATTCAGCTTCCATCCATAAGCAACTGCAACAGCTACAGGATGGGTTACATGCCCTGAAAGAAGATAGTGACCCCATTGGAAGTTGGTTCGCCAGCTGGGGCATCACCGGATGGTTGAGGTCTCTTGTGCTAGAAGGGGGACGGACTTTACTTATAATGTTAATTGAGATGACAGTCTAAGCTGTGTGTTATCTTATCCAAAGCCTGGTTTGTGCAAAAAGAGAAAGGGGGAATTGTTGATATATTTTATATATTAGTAAAGGCCTGTATGCACAAACCAGCCTTTGAAATAAGTCATGATATTAAGGGCTAAAATCCTTGAAACTTGCCTGCAGAAGAGAGAGTAAAGCAAAACAATATTCTTGTGTGTAGGAGAAAAAATGTAAAGTGTGTGTGTTAGCCAATAGTAGCTTGCTCTGTCCGCAGACCCTGTAGAACCCTATAAAAGGTGTGCTAAAGCTAGAAATAAACAGCGTTCACAATTACTTCTGTGAAGACTGGTGAATAGCTCGGGGGTCTTTCAAGACCTTTCCATGATGAGTGTTAAGAAATGAGTTCAGTGTAAAAAGTCATGTTAAAATGTATATATATAAATATTTTGTGAAATAACTTGGAGGACTTTGTTCAATGTACTGCAATAGAAGTTCATTCACTACACATGAGGAGCTTTAAGCAACAGCAAAAATAGGCTTAATTTTAGAAAGCAGGGGATGAAGGCTGAAATGGTCTCTCTAAAATATTCTGCTGAGGCTAAAGTTACTGAATGTGATATGTAAGAAATAAGGCAGTAGAAAAAAAGACATCCACTCTTAGTCTTACAAAACTCTTAATATTGCTGCTAAGAAATTGCTGCTCTATATTAGCAACAATTTAATTCTGCTCCATGAAATATGTATTGATCTAGAACAATCCTATTGTCTTTTCTGTTTTGTCTAGGTACTTATTTGAGAGTAGCAAAATTAGCTGCAAACATAGAAGGCCTTGTAGAAAATTGAGGTTCAGGCCAGGAATTTTTGATCTTTTCCCTTGTAGCAATATTAACCTCCCAGTATCAGTTATCATTAATAGCATCCTCCTTTTTATACCTGAGAAAAATTGTTCCACAGTACTGTGGACTGCAAGATCGGGTCCCGTGAGGTAACTGAAGTAATTTATTTAAGTCTTAAAATCTTCCTGTAATGTTCTAGATAAGTTCTCCTGAAGTGTAGGTGTTGAAGTTCAAAGCCTCATTCAGGTGTGTTTTGGGAAACACTTCATCTCTAATCAGGGCACTTCAAGAACTGCTCAGTTTAAAGTAATCTGGTAGGATCAGCTCTCAAGTCTCTGCTGCTGCACAAGTGTTGCACCATTTAAATAGTTCTAGGCTTCCTTCTTAAAAGTGTAATTTTGAAACTTAATTTTCTTTCCTTCCTCCAGAAGTCTCAATCTCTTTCTTTTCCCAGACTCCTGTTCCTTCTGGTGTCACTGTCTCATAGTTTTTTCTGATATAATTTCAGAGGCTGTAAGTGACAACAGGTGACAGGCTGGCAGCTCACACTTGTGTCACAGAGAAGCTCCATGATAGGAGCACGAAGTCATCTTATCAGCTGCTGGAGAACCCTATGCAGGGAAGACATCTAATCCCTCCTTCATGATTTTAATATTGATCTGAGGCAGCAATACCTGTGTGTTGTTGTGGGATGTCCTATGGTGGTGGAGAAACTGCTGCGTACCCAGTGTGTAACCACCATGGGGAGGATCAAGGCTCCACTCTGCAGCTGAGCACTCTGAGTGGAAATAGCAAATCTGCAGCATTGTTGGAAGTCAGGGAGAACCTCAGCACCATGCAGTATTCTCCTGTGGCACTGAATCCAGACCCCCCCATGGATAAAGGATCCAGGATTCCCCAGAGCTCTGGGGAAGGCACAAAGCCTGCAGCCTGCTCAGACAGTGGAGCTGGCAGGGCCCGAACCACGAAGTGCTTCCAGAGCCAGTATCTGACCAAAACCAGCACACAGGGACAGGTCTACAACTTCCTGGAGAGGGCCAGTGGGTGGAAGTGTTTTATCTATCATTTTGCTATGTAAGTACCTACATTTTCACATGATCTTTGGTGTAAGAAAAATCTGAAACTGCCCACTGAATCAGCCTGGAATCAGTACCTGAGCTCCTGGACTCAAAACCTGTTCCATAAGTTATCTCCTGAAGGCAATGGAAAAGCCAGTTCCTCAAAGAATCACCCACTATATCCACTATAGTTCCCAAAGAAGCCTTTTTGTTCTCCAAATGATCTTTGTTTTCAAGGATGTACATGTATATTTGGTATTTCTGAGGGCAAGTCCTCCATGCTCCTGGCATTTCTGATTGCTGATTGATCTGCTTTACACTGTTCCAGCTTCAGACACTGTAGTTTTTACCAGATGTCCTGCTGTGATCAGATGCAATTTGCTCTTGTAAATTTGTTTTGCTTGTGTAAAGAGCCAAAACAAGTCATTTGTTAGATTAACATATAACATTGCTAATTTTAATTGATTTATAGCCATCAATGTGAAATGAGTACAAACTTAGTAAAATGTTTTTCATTACATGCAAGGAGGCAATTAAGGCTTCCATTTACCCTGGTAAAGCAGTGGTTAATGTATTAATCCAGCTGTTACTGTTTCCTTTGAGCTGCTTATGGTATCTGTCAAGCTTAGCAAGACCTCAATTACTGTTCTGAATGCTGCATAACAGAAAGATAATTTGTCATCTTAGCTGTAGAAAAGGTCCAGTTTTTCTCTCACTGAGACCAGAGCAAGTTTTACTGGCCAGCTGAGCCAGAAGTCCTTACTTTTATTATAAAATTAGCATATTTCCTAAAGAAATGAAGAGTGTTGGAATTACTCTGTTTGTTTGAGATAAACTATGACCTGACTGCATTTTAGGAATAAACCCATTATCAGTGGCTGCAGTAAGGAACTGCCCAGAGAAATACATGGTAATTCTAGGAATGAACCCTAATGCTTCTATTTAGCATAAAATAGATAGTCTCATTAATACTTGCTTCCTTCCCCCCCAACATCATATACTTATTTTTGAAAGGATTTTTTGATTCATAAAATTTCTCCAAGCAAAAAGATAGGGCCTCTTTCAAGGACTATGCTTATAGCATGCTTTATTCCTAAGGACTAAACAGATGTGATTTGTGTAGATTTAAATATATGAATAGTCATGATTTAAGCCTATTGGAGACTATTAATCTTGCTAAAATGCATTTGTTTCATCATCTGTGTTGCTTTTATCCCCACCAAAGGACCTTTATGTGCACTTTTTTATTCTGAAATGAGCATTAAGATAAAATTAAAAATCTGTACACTCCTTCAGTATTATAAAATTTGAGGAAATATTGGTAATACCAACAGCAACAGTTTTTCTAAGGATTCCTAACTTACATGAAAGAATACATAAATTGAGTGCTCTTAAAAGTTATTTGTCTTTGCGGCTGCTAGAAAGGAAACATTTGAACAGCTTGCAGCTCTTGGCAAGCATTTTGTCTCAAGAATATTTTTGCTAATAATTATCCCAGTAACTTCATGATGTATTCATTTAAATAACAAGTTTCTGTTTTGGAAAGAACATGCCTTATAAGATTATATATCATTACAGTGAAACATTGTTAAAAAAATATGCTACTAATCTAAAATACACTTAATTTTATAATTAGAACAACCTGTAATTTATTTCTAAAAAGCTTCCCATGTTTTATCTGTGGGTTTGGAGGTAACTTAAGTGCAGCTGCTCTGATGCTGATGATTATGATTATTTTCCTAATAAATCCAAACTTTCAAGGAAATGGCTGGTATTTGTGTAGCCTGGAGGAGCTGGATGTTCTCTGTCCCTTCTGTCCTTCCCCTGCCACAAAGATCACACAACTCATGTACAAACTTGGGGGAGCTTTCTGTCCAAGAGAGACTGGAGTCTCTTCTCCAGTCCTGACTCCTCCTGGAGTCAGTTCTGCTAGAAAGAACCTGACTTTCCAAAACCATACAAGGTGAGGGAACAGCAGGTGCTCCGGGAGGTGACCTTGTCTCTTCCTAAAATTACCAAGATAATCACCAATAACACTTGTAGAAAGTTTCTTTTAAGGGAATAAGTTCAAGGATCTTATGGAACTTTATAATTGTGTTAGAAAAGAGAATTATTTTTGCCTAATTAAATCTAGAATTTGTATTATTTTAGTGGAGTTATTGGAGTTTTAGTGGAGGTTGAAATTAGGGTTTCAAAACAAAGTGAGTGAAGGGGCGAGGGAGTTTACTTGAGAATCAATGCTGGTCTTGGAAACCTTCTCACTTGGATAGTTTTCCAGTTTAGGACTGTGAAATATTTCACTTCTAAAATGCCCAACAGAACAGAGAATCTCACTTAGCAAGAGCTGAGGGCTTGAGAAGCAGCTTCTCCATGAACTGACAACCTAACCAAGCAATTCCTGTGGCTATGTAAGAGCCTTGGGCTGTTGGAGATCATCTATGTTAGAGCCCAGCTATTTGCTGTGTGGTCCTCAGTCCAGAAAAAGCAGCATGTGCCTGGCTTGGGTTAATTTCTAAACTCAGCTATGCGCTTGCTTAAATCACATCCAAATGTCACGTATTAGGGTATAACTCTCATGTTTTGCCTTTTGAAAGAAAGATACAACCTGTATTGCTGATGAGTTACTTATGGCAGTGAGGTTACTCGGCAAACCTACACATTTAAATAATTTAATTGCAGGTGGAGTCTCACTTATGTGATTGATATATTTCTGAAGCCTACATCCATATAGTGACTACTGGAATGGCTCCACTGTAGGCTGGAATGCTGTGTCCACCTGGCTGGCTATCATTTGTCACTATTATGTGAGCCACAGAGGCCACCTGGTGTCAGCCCGAGGCGATGTCGCAGTGTGGGTTGCAGGCAGGAAACCCCTGAGTGTGTCCCGGATCCATAGTATTTTCCCCCTTAGTTACACCCTGCTCACTGCAGTCCAACCCCCTTTTCCTGTCTTTTCCATTTCTCATGCAGGGACTGCTAGTTTTTGTCTTTTCATCTGCTGTTGCCTGGTTGGATTAATTTTTCAGCTAAAAAAGCCAGCAGCTTAGGGGGGACCTGAGTTCTCTTGGACTGAGAAGTGAGGGAGCATGACAACAGGCAAACAGTGAATATGGTGAAAGAAGGAGAGAGGAGAACTTGGGATTGAGACACTGAAGTCCAGGTTGGTTTGTGGTGGAAGCTGAGACTGGTGCCAGTGATGCTGAAATGGAGAAAAGCAATACAAGAGCAGTGTAGTTCAAGAACAAAGAGAATCTGATTTAAGCAGGAGGCATAAAGGAAAGAAGAAAAACAGGTTGTGGAGATCAGAAAGCTGGATACACAGCACAAAGGGGACAGCTGAAAATGGTCAAGAAGCTCAGAGAGCCACTTGGAGGAAGAGGGTAGGACATGACAGCTGGGAACTAGAGAAAAGCAGGAGTGTAGAATTCATGATGGGACAAGGAACCTTTCACCCATAGGCAACTAATTTGAATCTTGTCCAAGTCAATAGTGAAGAAGAAGCAGTGATGGCTGTGGGGAGATACAAAAGGAGATGTTGGTCCCAATCTAGCCCTTACACATCACCCCTGGAATCAGCACAGCTGGAGTGGCTGCTCTCAGACACTGGAGAGACCGCAGGCTGGCTGGGAATGGAGGCAAGTCCAAGGCAAGAGGGAGGCCCAGGATAGGGACTCTTAATTATGTTCTCAGGCCTGCCATTTTCTTGCTGTGTAACACTGCAAAAGCTTAAGTGAGAACTTGAGCTGTTGCAGGTCACTTTGTGTTGGTTTGGCCACTTGATAAATGAGTTGTTAGACCTTGCTCTTGTTCAAAAGTTAGACCAGTATTTGTATCCCATAATCTCCTATGGGATGATGTGAGTTGATCCACCAGGTAGCTCACTGCTAACAAGCCAGCACCAGTTCTGCTCCCCTTGTGCACCTCCAGCACTCAGCTTGCTCCTGCCAGCTGTAGGTGTCCTTGGATAGTTAAACTTGAAGTTACACTTGGATAACCAGTTCAATTTTTGACACCAGCAGAAACCTACCCCAGTGGAAAAAGAGTGGATGGTCTTCAGATGGGTTAGTACTGCACATTAAGCACCTTGAAACACTGTCCCACTGTTGTTTTCTCAGTGGATCAAAATCACTTGTTAAATTTCATGTGAAATTATGCACAATAATTGCAAAGTAACATTGCAAATCATCTGGCAAGTACTGCAGACCACCTGGTTTGACTGCAAAACATTTCATAAATGCAGAGTTTGGGTAGACATAAACTGCCTTGAGATTTCTGGGAAACAACTCCTCCAAATGGTGATTCAGAGAGGGTAATGGTTGTGGTTCTGAATTATTCCTATGGGATGCTGCTTGTCTCTGGGAATTGTGTGGTACAGATAAGGAAAACGTCTTCCCTAGAGTATGGTTTCCCAAGAACTGGCATACTGGTTTACCAGTGCCAAAAGGTTTTGGGTCCCCTGTGTCACCTTCCCTTCTCTTCTGGACACACATTTCTGCTGCACAATTCGTGTTGCTTCTGGCACTTGCTGGAGTCCTCCTATGTTTCATCAGCTCCCTGTAGTGGCAGGAATCTAGATCAACAGGAAATGAGAAACTTTTGGGACCTTAAGGAGTTGCAGCATGTCAGCAAATGGTCTAATGGGGCTGCAACTAGTGCTAACACTGTTGGCCAAGACTGGAATGGAATGAGGCAAAGTTTTCTTTTTTTCTTTTTTTTTTTTTTCCCACCAGAGATCTGCAGTGTGGGCTCAGTTTCATATGAAAATATGCCCTAGCTTTACTTTGTTACCCCTCTCCTCCTCCAGACTGACTCCCACAGCTCCCTCAAAGAGAAGCACGTGTGCATGCACGTGCACATGTACCTGTTCCTGGCAGCTTGCTCAAAATAACTCAAGTGAACAATTACTGCTGAATAATTAAAAGTGCATGATCCTTGCAAAAATATGAACAACATCAATAACATCACAGACTTAAAACTTTGGGAGGAAAGTACAAAAGATAAAAAATATGTTTAT